AGTCTGCTTCTCCCTCTGACCCTCCCCCCTCTCATGTGCTTGCTCTCTCTCATTCTCTCTCTCTCAAATAAATAAATAAATAAATCTTTAAAAAAAAAAAAAAAGGTCTACAAAGTCCACCTGGTGCTCTTAGGGCATGTGTTCTGGAAAAGGTTGGGGTGGAACCCTGAGAAACAACTTGCTGTGGTTGAAAGAGCATGAACGCAGGCAAAGCGATTAGATGGGCCTGGTTAACATTTACCTGGTGATTAGACCTCTCAAGATATCCTTTTCTATAATAGAGCATCTTAAGACTTACTAACCAGGTACCACCAGAATGACATCTCCTGAAGCTGTGTAATATAATTATATAATTGCCCATACACACAAGCATGCAAGCAAAACCAACTATATATGCAGGTATACGAATATAAAAACTTTACAAGTCTGAAGGGAAATACAGAGAACACCGAGGTTGGGGGAAAGGAGAAAAAATTTCACTTGTTACTTTACACAGTTCTATGTAGTTTCAATTTCCTTCTTTTTTTCAATTTCTTTATAAAAATGAACATAATTACTTTATGTTTAAATACATTAAGATATTGCTCTAAAAAAAAAAAAAAAAAAAAACACCACACCAATCATTGCAACATATTCCCCCAAATTTAAAAGTGCAAAGAAATCACCCCATATTCCACCACCTGAGGATAAGGAATGCTAATAATTTCATGATCTTTCTTTCCATATTTTGAATTTACCAGGCTCCTCTCCAGCACAGGCTTTCAATTTTTTCCAAAATAATTTTTTCACACAATTTCACCAAATAAGATGTCAATAAGTAGGTTGATTTTGAGGGTGTTTTTCTAATCCTAAATTCTCCATACTGTTCAAAATGTCTTTATACGATATCTAATAATCCAAAGAAAGAAGTTGGCATGATACAGAGTTACATCCCAGGATAGTGAATTACTACAGATGAATAATCAGTGTTCTACAGAATGCTTTGCAAATACTACATTCTCAATAGTTACTTGTGGAGGGGATAAATGTAGAAACTACTGAACAAAATGGAAATTAATTTTGAAATTGAAAAAAACCACATATTCCACTTTATATACTAGGGTAAGTATTATAAATTCGTCCTGACATGTGAGCTTTGTTTTCGCTTCTGACATGAATCAAATGAATTAAATGCAAATATATCAAATAAGCTTCAGTCACCTGATATACAATAAAAATATCAAAACCTCACACACTTGAGGTTAGAAATGAAACACGAGCTTACCTGAGTAACCAAAAGATATGCTTGACATTGGACTAAGATAGATTCCACTCCCGTACATTGCACCGTGGAGCTAAAAGGGGAACAGGTGGGAGAGAAAGTAGACAGTCAATGGTTTCAAAGGTTAATATTTTACAAAAGAAAGGAATCAGTCTCATGTTGGGAGGATTAACTCTTAGAAAATTGTAAGGCTCTTTCCTAAAGTCTAATGTGAAAATAGTAGTATTATCATCCTTGTCTTCAACATTCAGTGAGTTGATACGTGAAAAGTGATAGCCAGAGAAAAAATCCCTGATAAAGGTTTTCCACCCCACCTATGAAAAAGACAGTCACTTATTATCAAGTACTATAATAGGTTTTTATGTTAATGACTCCAAAATATTGAAAACCGAACAGGCTGAATTATACATGACAGAGTTTTGATGAGGACGCACATGCTAGTATATTAACAAAGTAGCCTATTTAGATTTTCATTATGCAACACTGTGATCCCATTCCTATCTCCTTTTAGGTTAACAGTTTCATTAGCAGAAACTCTTCAACTGGTCTAAGAAACTACTCAGAACAATTAAAATTCTCTCTCATTATTTCCATGTTCTAGGGCCCCTGTACCTTATTTAGTATGAACTGAATACTAATTCAGTAAGTGTGTGTTTATGGACATTTACATTTAACTGTATCATCTCAACTGTCATCGGGAGTGTGAGATCCAGCACACGCGACAGGATTGAGCATCTCATTTTCTGACCTCTTTCCATCGTCAGATGAAAATTAGCTGAATGAGAGTGAAGTGGGGTGTTGGAGGCGACGGGCATAAATAAAGATGAGCCCTATATCCACGATACCCCGCTAACTCCCAGCGCTGCCACGGAGACCGTGAAACAGGCAGCAGATGGCTCTTTGGTGTCCAATCTCCCTCTTGCTGATTCTTGGCCTTACCTTTCCTTATCCTCAAGTATCCACACTGGGGCAGTGCTCAAGAAATCTGTGTTGAATTATCAGACAGAATGCTTGTATGGTTTTACTTTCTGCATGATAATTTTCTTCTACTGAAGTTCAAAGTGATTTTACTGTTTTCTCATAGGGAATTCAGTTTCTTTTTATTTTCATCCCTATATGGTGTACTGGTCAATTCTGCTTCAGTTATTTTATGAACATTACTTACGCCTTTTAGAAATTCTATGTAATTTTTAAAGCCCACTTGCTTCCCCTTTTTCACGTAATAAAAAAGCACCAGGATTGCTTACTGAACTCTAACACTAAAGAACATATGGTCTTGTTAAAGCATTCAGAAAACTTACCTGCAGTCTAGTATTAGAAGCAACAACCAGACCATTCCTCAGGATAGAGTGCCAGTTTTCAATGTGTGAGCCACTAAAGCACAGAGGAGGGGAAGGACAAAGCAAAACCAAACATTAATAATCTAGATTCTAAAGTGGCCACAGTATAATCAGTCATGTACCCTCTGAAAGTCTTGAATTTCCAAATCAAGTATCGGGCAGTGGAATGTTCAGGACTAATAGCCAACTACTAAAAGAATGTTTTCCTCCCCACACACTTCTGGAAGATCGAGGGGAAGACATACCCCCATCAACAGGAAGCCATACTCACTGAAATGCAAAGGTGCTTCCAAAGAGTTTTTTAGCAGCTCTAAAATTAGATTCTTTGGCTGGTGGACTGCTGAGAAGAAGGAATTGATGTGGAGTGTGCATAAACTTCAGTTGCTGCCATTTAAAATAATGACAAATGAAAACATGTCAAAATTAACATATAATCACACTGATGACAATTTCAAATTTTACTCGTTTAAGAATTAATCGAGATTCAAGCCATACTAACTTACATTAACAGGACCATTCATTTAAAAAAAACAAAAAAACCTGCATAAATGATAAATCATATGGAGTTGCTGATATGACGGGTAATTTTTTAGGCTAATGGAAAAGGAATAGGAGACAGACAATCCAAAGTCATTTATATTTAGCTTTGGAATACATTCTGTAATCATGTCCAAGCAGATCTGCCTTCTTAATTATGTTTCTTTTTAAGGCTTTTATTATTGAATTCCCTAAGTATACACTCGTTACTCAACTGGGGAAATATCTGAGTTGGCTAAGGAGAAAAGAAAAGTTAGTTCAAGATTTTAAAATTGCAAAAATTATCATCATCACGCTTTATTTGCATACATTTATAAAACTGTAAATTGCCTACATTCAAATACAGCTCCCCCCCTTTGTTCATGGAAAGAAATTAAAACAATCTTTTGAATTAGTTGCTTGACAAAATTTTCTAATTGCTGCCCTTTCACTTAGGAATATACTTATATAGGAGTACAAAATAAAGGAAATATCGCAGTTTAGAGATTCACAGACAGGAGAGCTGAGAGTTCGGATACTGCTCTTCTTTGTTTTCGATCAGAACTGAAATCAGAGTCCATCAGCTTCTTCCTTTATTCTGTAAGCATATTAAGCCGAGAAGGCAGTATCTTCTCCACTTTGGGAAAGTGGGGCTGTGCCGACAAGAAACTGACAATGCTAAAAAAGCACATTACCTTTTTCTGGTCAATATCCAGATTCTTGCTATCACTTGTGGAATAACTAAATGACTTCATACTGACCCTTCTACTTACTTAAAAGGTCAGGGCAGCAGCCTGAATTTGAATTTGCTTTCTTGGGAAAACTCGGAGCTGGTGTACATACAGTAATTTCAAACTGAAGAGTTAGGCCTAACCTGAGATTACTTCAATTTCCTGGAGAGGATGCCTAAAAATCACAGGGGTCACTTCTCCCAACCAGTCAGGACGCTTCCCATTTCTGTATGTATATGTGAAAAAACAACTTACCCTGTTAACTGGCAGTTTCACAATATGTGACCTATTACTTGAAATAACCCTGAAATTAATTAAAATAGTCCATCAGTCACAAATATATGCCAAATATATTTTACGTTTTTTTTTTTTCCCTTAGTTGGTAAGTGATCGGAACTTACGTTTGCTGTGACATTAACTAAATTGAGTAAGCATTTTACTTAATTACATCACTTTGCTTTGGTTCCTGAAACAATTTAAAGAGCTTATGGAAAGAAAAGGATAATATTTTAATCTGAGAACGAAGTAGTTCCTTAAAACCTGAGAGATAATGATTTTTAATAATTACAACATGAACATTTCTAAGCATACTTTCAAAGGATGATCCCCTAGATGCAAAGCTGATTCATACATCTGCTTCCTTGGTTCTTCCCTACACTGTCTAATTAAGAATGAGTTTCTGTGAAGACCTTTTTCTTTCTTAAAATATTTGAGGACGTTTGTGCTGATATATATACAGTGGTATATACACAAACTGTTATTCACCATATTTAGACACTGAGGTTGAAAAAAATTACATTCAGGTATCTGAAAGAACTAATTATTTTTATGTTTTTCAGAACAGAAAATAATAACTACGGAAAACTCTAAAAAAACATTTGGGGAAATTTTCTTCTCCTTGAAAGAAGAGTGACTAACAAGCTGAAGGAAATGATCACAAATAATTAAAAGTTAACAATCAGGTTGACTACTGGGGGTGGGGGTGGGGGTGGGGGAAGAGACTAGATATTTGAGATTTTTACCTTCATTGTGAATATGATTTCATGTGAGAATGTAAAAAATTACAATGAAAACCTTGTGTTATTCTACTCAAACAGAATTTTAATAATAGAGCATTACAGATACAAAGAAGGAAGCCTTCCAAATCTAATTTTTAAAGATTTTATTTATTTATTTATTTATTTATTTATTTATTTATTTGAGAGAGAGAAACAGCATGAGAGGGGAGAGGGTCAGAGGGAGAAGCAGGCTCCCCGCCGAGCAGGGAGCCCAATGCGGGACTCGATCCCAGGACTCCGGGACCATGACCTGAGCCGAAGGCAGTCGCCCAACCAACTGAGCCACCCAGGCGCCCCCCAAATCTAATTTTTAAAGTTTTATTAGACTGAATGTTTATTGTAAAATCCTAAGTGAGAGTTAGGTAACCAGAATCATTCTTTCTCCTTTGCCCATCTTTCCATAATTTTTTAAAAACTTCCTGGTTGTAGCTAGATTAAATCTCATTCAGACCAATCTCTTATCACCTTTACATTTGTATTACTGCATTTATAATCTTGGTGAATTCCATAGTCTTTTAAGTTTTCAGTGATTTCAAAGACACATGTGCATAAAACCCTTAGAGGTATGGGGGGTAGGGATACTATTGTTTTCATTTTGCAAGTTAGAAACCAGAGGGCAAAGGCTTTGAAGCAGGTGTGGTAGGAACGGGGTTCTCAACCTGCTCTTCTATTCTCAGTCAGCCTTCCTAGGATCTATGCCAGACTCAAGCTATACCCCTCACCAGGCTCACTCTGAACAGAGCATCATCTGCAGCCGTCAAACAAAGAGTTCATCAAATTTATACTGCTCTTGTTAAGGAAGTGAACCATACACTATGACATTTTAGAAAGATTTTCAATAAACGTTTGAAACTGAGTTTTGTCACTGAGTCCTCAGTTAACTAGAAAATTAAATGAACCCAAACGGCTTCACCATATAATTCAGCTAATCACATTTTTTTTTAAACTATAGACAAACTGCTGTCAAATACATCATCTATCTGTGTAGTGCATAGGACAGCATTTTCTTCCCCTTGTGATACACAAGTTTTAATTAAAATGAGAGTCATTAAGGACTCTGTAAAATCACCGGGCCTCATAGGCTTGTGGAACTGTAGCACTGCAGGTCTTGTAAAATAGGCCTTTTTTTCCCCCCTTAAAGCAGGCAGTAGAAAATGATGCTGTTTTCATTAAGAGGAAAACTAAAATTTTATACCATTGCAGTAGGGGATGAGCAAGGGGGTCTTGTTTATCCATCTGCTTCTTGATTTCCAGATATGGTGCCTGAAAAAAAAAGTCATTATACTTCTTGATTTTTCTTAAAAAAAATTCCTTTTTCCCTTATGCAAAAGGAAAATCAGGTTGAACAGGTATGTCTAATCTAGTTAAACCCGAAGCTCCGTGGCCGTGACATGGTCGCGGCAACAATTACCCTCATTGTGCCCCCCGCCCGCCCCCCTTCAAGGTGCTGTGAACTCTGAACTTCCATGTGGCCCAATGGGCTTGCCCAAACATTTTGCTCCAGAGGCTTCATCAAGTTTTAGCCTGGCTCCCACACACTAGGCCATGTCTAAAGGTGATCCCAGGCCCCCGACTGAGTCTCTGCTCAAGAAAACATGATGCTGCCCCACCACAAAAGGTACCTACCTTGTACCCACCCACACTGCTAGCCTTCCAGTAATTCTCTACTCACCCCCCTGCTGTAATTTCCTGCTTCCCCACAGCCCCCTATTTCCACTTCTCCGTAGCCCCCTTTTGTTCCCTCTCTGCTCTCCCTTTAAAAAACTCAGTCACTTCTGTCTTCCTCGGAGGTGACCTCACTCACACTGCAAGTCCCTCTCCCCCGCTGCAGTCCTCGAATTAAATCTCTCTCGCCACCTTTAACAAGTGTCAGGTGCTGTCTCTTTTTGATGATGACTCTTTTTAACTTTTAACAAACATTAAAGGAAAATTTGTAAGAGCTACTACTCAGGCTCATATCTGAAGGTACTGACTTAGGTGCAGAGAAAACTGGACAAAACTTGCATAAGAAGAGCCCTTCTTTTCAAAGTATTTAATGGAATTTATCCAGACAATTAACCTTTTCATAGAACAAAAGGCAATCTGTCTGTGATAACTTGCGTCTATCTATAGGGCAGTACCTTCTAGAAAATAGGACAGTATAATGTTATATTTATTTGGAGAGGTGTAAAGGATTTGACGCAATAAAACCTGGCAGGCATCCCTGTGGAGTGCAGACTGGAAGGGGGTGCAGTGTTACTATTTACCATCTTGACAGTGAAGAAGCTAAGTGTCAAGCAATTAAGCAACTTGCCCAAGGTCACAGGCCGCATCATTGATGAGCAAATTATACAACACACGCCTCTGACTTCCTAGGCTGACACTCAATCGTCTCCACTGCCTTCTATTAAAATAGCTTACACATGACCCAGAATAACGGAAGAAAATTTTGGCAGAGGGCTGATCCAGAGTCAGAATTTTGTAGCTATTTTTATCCGAGAATGATCTGGGTCTAGGGTATATAGTATGATAAATACCCTATTATCACCAAAGTCTTTGGTGACTAAAAATATTTACTTAACTTTGTGTAAGCCATTGGAATAGGTTCGCTTTTCCCCCAAGTGGAAATGTATTTCATTGTTTTCTTTTCCTTATACAAATAATAATATTTGTTTGAAGAGGAATTCAGGTAATAGAGAAGAGTATGGGCATAGAAAAACAACGAGCAAGGATGATGGTTTTTAAGCAAATGATATAACTTGTGAATTAAGAATCTCTTCGTTTAAATTGTCTGACACACATTATTTGTTGAACAAGAGGATGAATATTTGACTACATGGAATAAATAACTATCAAAAGACTCAAAACTCAAATTTGGGAATGTAAAAAGGTACTCTGGGAGCACATTTTCAAATACAGTAGGGGTGATGGCAGGGGTGAAGGGAGGAGTGACAGAGAAGCTTTGCGGGCCTCAAGACTGAAGGAATCCAATACTCTCTCCCCAAAGACAGAAAGGACCCAGGGTAATACTCAGGATAAGCCTCCTGGGTGTCTAGGGCAGTGAAAGCCTTGAAACCGCCATACATATGTAAACCAAACCCATAATGTGTGTTGTTGTCAATTATGGATTATTAATTTCTACTTATCATGATGAGTTTTAAGCCTCTCTCCAAATCTTTGGCAGTGGAAAGGCCTCAAAAATCCAATAGCATGTGCTTTGCGAAGAGCTGGACTATAGCCCAGTGATATGTTAGACTTTCATAATAAACCGCAATCCTTGCTCATCAAACACCTCACCAAGCCTCCCTAAAGGGCTAAAAATACAAACTCATACTCTCGGGGAGGCTAGTGTCCTCCAAAGTTGTTTTGAGATTCTATTTGATAGAATATTTGTTTTTATTTTGACATTAAAATAGTGTGTTAAAATTACTACCATTAATTAAAATGGACAGTCTAGAAAGATGGTACCAGATTTAACCTTTGCTTTAAGATATTCTGACACACCACCACACACTCCAATTGTTGGAGAAATCATTAGGATTATAATCATTCAATTACCCTCCAAAAGTCAAAGTGGTCCACCAGTACACTGATGTAATTTAATCAAAACATCCTAGTACAACACAATTTTAATTTTTGACATATTTTAATTATACTCCCATCTAATAGAAAAATCTACATTTCACTACATAGCCAGTACTCTCAGACATTTTTAAAATATGATTTTACTCAAGCAAAACTGAACTGTACAAGACCACAAGATGATACACTTACTTGTGTCATTTCTCTAATAGAAGTTATGCTATCCAGTGCTTTCATTACTCGATCATAGTTCTTCTTCTGTTTGAATGGAAAAAAAAAAACAGTATTCACTATAAGCCTTTGCAAGCCTACGTGTTACTGGAGAAACATATTTTCCCTGTACATGGATTTCCCATCAGAGTCGATTTGAAAGCAGTGACTGGGTTGTGTCCATAAAAGGGAAGGCTTTAATAAGATGATTCTAGGATGTAGGATATATAACTGAGTTAGAGGGAAGAAAAAAGAAAACAATGCCAATCCTAATATAAGTACATAAAATCATGTTTAGTCTATAGGGGGAGAACTATAAATATAAAAAAGATATTGTGCTCTTGATTCTTTGTGTCACCAAAAAGATTAAGCCATGATGAATAAAGTTAGAACAGAATCCTTCTAAAATACAAAAATCCACTTTAAGTCTTATAATATCATTTTGCTTTTATTTTCTTTTGATTGAAAGATTGTTACCAAAAGAGTACGACTAGTGAGTGTATCAATGACACCACACACTTAACTGATAATTCATCTTTTTTTTTTTTTTAAGATTTTATTTATTTGACAGAGAGACATAGCGAGAGAGGGAACACAAGCAGGCGGAGTGGGAGAGGGAGAAGCAGGTTTCCCGTGGAGCAGGGAGCCCGATGCAGGGCTCGATCCCAGGACCCTGGGACCATCACCTGAGCCAAGGGCAGACGCTTAATGACTGAGCCACCCAGGCGCCCCTGAAATTCACCTTTAAGTATACTCTAACTATGTGTACTCTTGCCACTTATGAAGGAAGGAAAGCTTTTCCAAGGACATTTTATATAGCCATTGTGTCTACAAAATGATTTCAAGATGGATAGTAAGAGAAACTAAGGCAATTTTAGCTCTCATGCAATTTGAAAATTTTGCTATTTCAGAAGGATTCTGCCTCATCTCCACAAATATTTATAAAACTGTTTTCTCAAGGAATGCCGCTTGATCGACAATATGGACTAAACTTTCACTAATCTTCAGGTAACTAGGGAAAAGGCAAGGGATGATTAATAAAAATACAAAAGAAAGCAAAAATCAGTCCTTTTACCCACAACCCTTAAAATTACCATGAGGTTACATTAAGCTAGACTCTCAAAACTATATAATGAAATTAATCATATCAATCATTACTACCTAGTTTATTACTGCTATTTACCTGCCTTTCATGCAGATGGGATGTGTAAAGATTGCAATTTGAGAGGATGAAATGGGTCTAGTTTCATAAAGATGAAGTTCTGAAAGTGATTTTAAAAGATGAAAGGACAGGGGAAATAATAGGATATGGGAAAGACTGAAGGAGGCAGTAAATAGAGTTTGTGGGAAAAGAACGGTATTTATTAAATGGATAGAGTCCACCACGGGTCAGAGATGGGCCTGATGAGGGAGTGAGTTAGACGGAAAGAGGGAAGCTGGCAGCTCTAAAATCTCAGCTGCTGTTACAGGGGGCGGGAGGGGCGTATGAGGAGAAGTACTCACCCTGGGGTTGAAGGCCAGCATCTGAGGATCGTTAGGATCCACCACAGAAGGATATGGCTCGAAAATGACAACTTTTCTAGGAGATTCCAGTGCAGACCTACACATGGATACTAGTAGATCTACCACCTTGAAACACATACATAAGAGAGTTAGCATCCTTCGCGATTCAGCGCGTGCTTTGCCATTGCTCCTCCCGCTCGTGGTTGCGGAAGTTAAGTAGGAAAATCTCAAAACTGCTACCAACTTTGCGGCTTCAGACCACAGTTGACCAAACCTGACCATTAACTTCAAATGACTGACATGTGTTGCTTCCGATAACGTCCTAGTATCTCTTTGTCATGAACTCTCTACTATGCTCTCACATTGCTCTAGGTTCTATGGCAGACATGCACAAGAAAGACAGGTCCTCTCTTTCATGGAATTTACATTCTAATGGAGAAGATGCATAACCAAATAATCAGTTAAATATATGCTCAGATACATTTCTGGTAGTGTTGAATGCTGTAAAGTTTAAGCAGGTGTTAGAGACTAAGGCAATAGGGAGTGCTGTTTCAGAGTGGCTAGGAAGGTGATGATACTTCAACAGAGACCAGAGTGAAGACAGAGAGCGAGATAGAGCTCTGGGAGAAACTATTCCAGGTGATGGAACTGCAAATTCAGGAGATGAGTCTGACGTGTTCCAAGAACAGTAAAGCTCCTGACATCATCTTACTTCTTCCTACTCTCTGCCTCAGGCCATTCATGACCTTTGGTATGCTAAATATGATGGCTTTATTCCTATGTTCTTCTGTGACCTCTTAACAATTTACTAAGAGGCAATGTCATTTAATGGTTAGGAGCAAAGCCCCCCTTCTCCAGTTCCCAAAACAATATGCTTCTGGCAAGTCAATCGAGAAAACGGACACTGTCTAAATGGAGAGAGGGCGCCCAAACGGACACATTGACAGTGTGAAGATAGGGGACATCATAAGGAAAGCAGTGGACTTAATCTTTACAGAGAAAAATATTTCTAGAAAGCTTTTAGACAGGCATTTAAAAAATGTAGAGTAAGAGTAAAACAATTTTTGATTCTTGTGGTTCATGGGAGGGGCACTGTGACCTAATGACCATGCGCTCACTATGTTGTGTGTATACTCACAAAACACATCCACCCAATCACAGCATCCAGAACTTCCAGTGACCTAAAATAATCAGGAACACTCAAGCCATTGGGCATATGATCTATAAGAAACCCTTCCTAAAGTACACAGACATACACCCCACAAGACTCACTCAGAAAACAGTAGAACTGAAAGAGCTACTATGTTTCCAACACACTACACCATTTATATGTGTGTGTGTGTGTGTGTGTGGTTTCCAAGCAATATATATAATAAAGACATAATAAAATCCTTTTTGTCTTCTGCACCCACACTTACACTCCTTCTACCCCAGACAGATGCACTTTAACCTAGACACAAATTATTTTTGGCATTTTCTGGTCTCTCAATAAAAGAAAAATCCAAATAAAAACTCCTGAAAAAGAATAATCAGTAAAATAAAACAGCCTTTTCTGGAACTCTGGCGGTGGGGAGGGAATTGGTACGATCTTATAAAAATTTTTAAGAATTAAAAGTCACAGTATGCAAATGAAGTGTTAGAAAAGTTCATGCCCTTTGCTTTAATAAAGGGTCAAATGATCTTTGATAAGGGTACTAAAACCACTCAGTGGAAAAGAATAGTTTTTTCTATGAATGACGGTGGGAAAACTGGATATCCATATGAAAAAAAAATGAAGCTGGACTTTTATCTTACGCCATACACAAAAATTAACTCAAAATGGAATAAAGACCTAAACATAAGACGTTAAACTATAAAATTCCCACAAGAAAACATGAGGGAAAAACTTCATGACATTGGACTTGGCAATGATTTCTTGGCTTGACACCAAAGCACAAACAATAAAAGCAAAAATAGACAAATGGGACTACATCAAACTTAAAAACTTTGGTGCATCAAAGGACACAATCAACAGAGTGAAATGGTATGGGATGGGAGAAAATATTTGCGAATCAGATATCTGAAAGCGGGTTAATATCCAGAATATATAAAGAATTCCTACAACTCAACAAGAAGAAATCAAATAATTTGATTTAAAAATGGGCAAAAAACCCAGATAAGCAATTCATTAAAGAAGACATACAGATGGCCAACAGCACATGAAAAGATGCTCAACATTATTAATCATCAGAGAAATGCAAATCAAAACCATAATGAGATATCACCTCACAACCATTAGGATTGCTACTATCAAAAAACAAAAACCAAAACCAGAAAATAACAAGTGTTGAGCACATGAAGAAACTGGAGCCTCTGTGCACTGCTGATGGAATTATAAATTTGTGCATCTGCTACAGAAAACACTATGGAAGCCCCTCAAGAAGTTAATAATAGAACTTCCATATGATCCTGCTGGAAGTGACAATCCCACTTCTGGATATATATCCACAATAATTCAAAGAAGGGTCTTAAAGACCTATCTGCATACCCATGTTTACAGCAGCATTATTCACAAGAGCCAAGAGATGGAGGCAACCAAAATGTCCATTGACAGTTGAATGGATAAAGAAGATGTGGTATTTTTACATTTTGAAAATTTTGAAAAATTATTCAGCCTAAAAAAGGAAAATTCCATCACATGCTACAACATCGCATCGATAAACCTTGAGGACATTATGCTAAGTGAAATAAACTGGTATAAAATAAACCACAAAAAGACAAATACTGTAAGAGTCCCCCAAGAGGTATTTAAAGTAGTCAAATTCATAGAAACAGAAAGTAGAATGGTGATTACCGGGGCTGGAGGAAGGGGGCTACATAAGGGGAGTTGTTTAATGGGTACAGAGTTTCAGTTCTGCAAGATGAAAAAGTTATGGAAATCTGTTTCATGACAAGTTGAATATTGTAAACACTACTGAACTGTATGCTTAAAAAAGGGTTAAGATAGTAAATTTTATGTTACGTTTTTTATCACAAGAATAAAGATACAAATAGATACAATAGTAATAACCTGAACAATGTATCCCTTTCAATCAAGTATTTATTAAACACCTTGTGCCAGAAGCATCAAAACAATCAAAACTACCAAAAATTATATGCGTTCTTCTGCCAATAATTTCATCATTGGAGTCACGTAAACTATAATGAAATAATAGACACAGGGGGTAGAGAATTCAATTAGAATATTTCTGCTAAATAGATGTTCTAAGCCAACTTAAAAGAAATAGCGTTAACTACCACAGCAAAATCTCATGCTGTCCACCAAACCCTCCTACTTCTTGCTTCCCAGGTAGAGAGCTATTGACGGGAGGCAGCTGCTCTGCGTGCGACATTTCCACCCCTTTTGTCTACGTAAGGCTGCGTGATTAGTTTTAACCAATGGAATTGGATCGGCAGTGGAAAAGGGTGGAGTTGATGAATAAACAGGTGCACCTTCTTCGCTTTTATCTCTGCCTCTGCTGTATGCCATGTACCTAAGACAGCAGAGCCACACAATGGAATGGGTCCAGTTAACTCAATCATCACACAGAAAGCTGCCCAACAAACATTCTAACTGGACGGTTGTGGGAGCAAGAAGTAAAAATGTGTATCATCTTAAGCCACTGTAATTTTATGATTTATCTGTTACAGAAGTTAGCAGGCAGAATTTTTGAACAAGAAAAGGTCTGTATAACACTGTTTGGATTTGTATTCATTTGCACGTTAATTTTTCCATGGAGTAAAATGTCTACTTAAAAAAAATAAAACATAACGAACGACTATGCTTTTTTTTTTTACCCCAAATCATGTATTTCCCCACTCCCAGCATTTTAAATGATTCTTTTTTTTTTTTTAAAGATTTTATTTATTTATTTGACAGTGAGAGCGGGAACACAAGCAGGGGGAGGGAGTGGGAGAGGGAGAAGCAGGCTTCCCTCTGAGCAGTGGGACCGATGTGGGGCTTGATCCCAGAACTCTGGGATCATGACCTGAGCCAAAGGCAGATAGATGCTTAACGACTGAGCCACCCCGGTGCCCTCCCCCCCTTTTTTAAGTAGGCTCCACGCCCAGAACGGAGCCCAACAAGGGGCTTGAACTCACGACCCTGAGATCAAGACCTAAGCTGAGATCAAGAGTCTGATGCTTAACTGACTGAGTCACCCAGGTGCCCCAAAATGAAAGATTCTTAATGGGATCTTAGCACATAATGGTGAGTGCTATAGTCAGCAAGTTCCAGACATCTTTCTTCTTACACTGAATAATATAATTGAAGAGGCAATCTGGAGGCTAAGATACTTAGGATAGAGAAATACAGAATTCAAACAATGGGAATTAGGCCATTTGATGAGTGAGAAAAGGTCAGTGGGTTTATAGAATCACATGCTTCCAAAGGCCATTATATACAATCCATCTGGTAGAGCAAGACTCTCAACCCTCCTCTGCAGGTAAGGAAGACCCTGGAGCACTTGCAAATGAGAAAATTCAGGTCCAGGTGAGTAAGAAAGGCAAGTGCAGGAGTGGCCTACAGATATATAATGTATTCTGGAAAATAGGTGAATTTAAAATTGAAGATCAATGGCTTTCAAACATTTCAATATTGATCCCTTTTTTTTCTAAATAAAATCTTATATGAGCGCTGTGAATTGTGTAAGACTGTTGAATCACAGACCTGT